AAAGCCATCCCCAGTAAACAAATCCAGGAGCCATTGTGGAAGGCAGCAGTGCTGGTTCCACAGGCCTTTGCTCTATCTCAGTCCACAGCATCCAGTATGAGCTTCTTTTTTTTTTTTCCTTAATGAATACATGGGTACCTATGATTAGGTCAGGTTGGTGAGGTGAAGTCAGAGATGCAGGCAAGCCCTTCACCCAGAAGTGTGCCATATACCCCTACACTGGTCTAGGTAGTTGCCATATCCCCCTAAATTGTCCCGTTAGGTGGGAACCTATCAAACCCGTCTGCCGCCACCCACAAGCACGCCAGGTCCTCAAGTGTGGGGATTGTGGCGGGTTCATTGTTGTCGCCTCAAAGCCTAGAGTTGTGGAGTGCATGGAAAAAATTCAATACCTACTTGTTGAGTGCATGAATAAATGAGTGAAGGATTCAAGTGCCACACACGTGGGGGTCTCAGACTTTTAAATTTTCAGCAGCTACTTCTGAGGCATGATGGGCTGCTGCTGCTTCCTTTCTCTGAGCTGCTGTGAAGCTGAGCCACTTCCTCCACGTTGGACACCTCTCCCTCTCAACATTCTGAGCCGCAGGAAGAGCCTTTCCTAAATGAGAAACAACAAAGAAAGCGAGCTCCGCTGGGGAGGCCGCCTTCTCTTATTCATCCTCCTGTCCCCTGCAGAGGCTGGTGGAGCAGGTTCAGCAAATATTGATTTTAGGAATCAACAGGAAACTGTATTTCCTTATAAAGAACTAAAATTTAGACTCAACTAAATTTGTCTGATGTAACCCAGGCCTTTCAGACCTCATATTTGGTGCCTCCGTGACCTTCCGATTTACCTGTTTGTGGGGAGCAGCCATTAGACTGGCCCCCCATGGTCCCTTTGTCCTGCTGTTCATCGCTGTGTACTCCCCTCCCCTTGAGTGTGAGCTGGATCCAGTGACTCCACGCTGGGGGACAGAATGGAGCAGATGGGTTATTTCTGAGATGGTTCTGAAAAAGACTTTCATCACGAGCACTCTCCTTCTTTTACTCTTAGGCACTTATTTTGCCATGACACGAGGCAGCCATGTGCAGAGGTTCACACCAGCGAACTGGAGAGCAGACTGCCCACCCGACCCCCTACCCCCGTGAGCCTGGAAGTCACTACCGCCAGCTGACACCTTGGTGGAAGCCTCGTGGGACATCTTAAACTGGAAATGCCCACTCTCGGATTCCCGACCCATGGAAACTATGAAATAATAAATGTTTATTGTCCTCAACTGCAAAGTTTTGGAGTACAGATAACTGATAGACCACACTCTATAGAGCATTTGACCTGTGTTCCATTTGCGTGTCACTTTTAAAGCATTACTAACGTGAAAAGCAATCTCAAGATGTTTCTTCCAAAAGCTAATGTGCATTCAAAGTGAGGGGTTCTTTTTAATATCTGAGTGAACTTTCAAAATTTGTGCCATACCCTGTAGTCCCAGCTACTCAGGAGGCTGAGGTGGGAGGATTGTTTTGAGCCCAGGAGTTTGAGGTTACAATGAACTATGATGGAACCACTACGCTGTAGCCTGGGAGAGCTAGACCCATCTCATAAAAAAAAAAAAAAATTGTAATATTTTTGTATGTAAATTTAAAATGGTGTCCAAAATAAACTTACTTAAAAAAATAAAAATATGCAGTTAAGTTTGTCAGAATACATAAAACCAATAAAATAAAAATAAACTTATATATGCTAAGCTCCCCCAAACAAAGGCTATGTTAACCAGTTTGTTGTATTTCAAATTGTATATAAAACCAGCACATTGTACCCCATAAATGCATTATTACACACAGCTATGATTTAATAAAAAAAAAAATAAAAACTCTCTTGTTAACTTAATGTCTACTTTCTGCTAGGCGCTTTTCTAAACATGTTACTCATGTTATCTCATGTAGTCCTGGCAAAAACTCTCTGCAGTAAGGTACTACCATCACTTCATTTTAATTATGGAGAAACAGAAAAACAAACATTGTAAGCAACTTGCCTGAGGTCAAACAGCTAGTATGTGCTGGAGCCAGATAGTCTGATTCCAAGGCTGCGGCTTAGACAAAAAGGAGGTGATGTAGAATCATAAAGCAGTTCAAATAGCTTTACAAGCCAGCTCTAGTGTGGAAGTGTCACTTAACTAGGACTAGAGTTTCCATGATTAAAAGATGAGCTGATACTGATCTTTAATGGACTCTCAAAGGATTGCACGAAATAAATGAAAGAATATACAACAAACGGCTGACATACTCTAGCAGACAATTTAGTAGATACCAGTACCAAAAGTTAAAAAAAAAAAAAGACATCTAAATGAGAAAAGGAGACAGACCCTAAATCATCATTTGAGGGGTGGGGAATCCTTACTCCTTTTAGTGGAAAGGTCATTCAGATCACTAGAAATTCATACACATTCAGCAGTCAGACTCCTGTGTCATTATTACATTTGCTGACACATTTTAAACTCATCAATACAGGCTGATAGCAAGAGGTGCAAGGATTGTGACCCGACCACATAATCACCTCAGGACCCCAGCAGCTCCCCAGAATGTCCTGTGCACTGATATCTCACAGATAAATGTAAACAGGATTTATTCAACTTAGATCCAGGACAGCTGGGTCTGAGTCTACTCTGACATTATTTCCTATGTAGCACGACCTTGGCCACACCAGATCATGGGTTGGACACATTGGTAATTCTGAAGTTCACCTTCCCCCTTACTCACGACTCTCAACATAGACCTCAATGTCCATTAGAGGTCAGGGCATGAAGCCACTTACATATTCACTCTATTTCTGCACTAAGGCCTCTCCCTGTCTGGCTATATGCCATGGTCATCATTTATAGTCACACTGCCATAAGTTCTAGAACCTTCTGACAGAGTTTAGAGCACTTCAAAAGGAGATTTTTTGTTTCATCACCGTTTCTTCCAATCTGGTTTAATCAATGACCTCCTTTCTGGGACTTGTTTATTACTTACAATTAGGTGCCTTCCAAGGTCTGCCAGACCAGACGCGGGTGTGCAATAATATTTCTAATCAGAGTCCAACAATCCTGGAAAACTAGTTTTAGTGAAAAATGAAGTGACTAATAGACTCAGTCTAAATGATTATGAGCTGGTGAAAATTCCATTTCCCTTGACAAAATAATGTGGAGCTGTTAAATTCAGCTTCTGAGATAGTTTGTGGCCATGCATATTAATCTTCCTGAACATATACCTTTTACTCCATAATTTGAATGCTGAAAATTAAGCCATATGCAAGAAATAAAGCATGAGCTTTCCATAGTACATAATTTTTTCCCTAAGTATTTTATAGTTCATAAAGAGGGGAAGACCAACATTTTTTGTGTACCTCATACCTACTATGTGCCAGGCTCCAGACCAGGGGCCTTTTTCTAATGTTATTGTTTGTTCTTCATAATAGGTCTCTCAGGTATTTTTAATTATTCCTTTATTACAGAAGTAGAAACTGATGTTCAGAAAAGTCAGTGGTAGAGCTGAGGTTTAAACCCACGTCTGGCTGATGCTAAAACTCTTTCTATTTCTGTGATACCAAGAAGTTTAATTTCCTTCCTAGAGAGGCTAATTTAGAATCTGAAGAGTTTTTCTTTCAGTCCAATAAATGAGCCTTAATTGTGCTAAAGGAATTCAAAGATTAAGACAGCAACTACCCAAATTTGTCAGCAAATCCATCCGACAATGACCGCAATGATGACAAAAATGGCTCTGTATATGCCAAGCACCGTTCTACTTTACATATATTCTATTTTACACGTACGACCTCAATTGATAAAGCAGGTGCTGTTATATTAGTTGGCGAAGGCCCTGCTTTGCTCATTCTTACATGTAGCTGTCGAATCAAGTGGAACAAAGTATGATACCTCCAGACTAACTACCAACGTGTTTTACTTCAGACACTTGATGAAAGACAAAACACTTCAGTGTTACAAAGGCTCAGTTCTTGTGTTAACTAACAAATCAAGGGGACAATTCTCACCACACTTGACAGTAGTAAGGATTGTCATGATCTGATACCAGGTTGGAAAGTCACATGAATGTTAATACAGTGAAGAGAAGTGATAAAAATGCCAATGGAATTGGCTTCTCAAATCAGTGCCGAGCTGTATAACACACTGTATCGTAATGACAGGAGGGGAACTTTGTATTTCTGAGTGCAGCTGTGTTGAGGAAGTCAAGCAGAAGCTCTTCCTGCAGAACTGGCCTCCGCTGGTCTTTGGAGGGAATGTGCTCCCCTCTCTGCACGGTGGCCTCCACCCTGCTAGAGGCCTGCAGGTTTGCTCCATCAAAGGAAACTTGACTCTGAGTCTCTCTAGCTTAGTGGTCATTTTCCAGCACAAAAGCTGAATCAAAATAGAGAAAATGAAGATCAACGTAACACCAATCCCTCTGGGTGGTATCTGGAGTTTTCTCTGAGGCGGCAGGAATAGTGGAATATTTTTGAATTCTGTGTTAATTTTCAATTGTTTAAACCATGACTTAATGTCAGATAATTTCCTCTTGGCTATATAACCCTACGCTATATACCCAATCTCTCTCTTGCCCTATGAAATGCAGCAAAATGGGGTAGTGGTTATTCAGGTGCTGGAGTCAGATTGCCCACGTTGGAACCCAGCTCTGGCACTTACCTGCTGTGTGACCTTGGGAAAGTTGCAACTTCTTGGTCTATCTCAGATTCTTCCCCTGAAAATGGAGATCACATAGGGTGCTACCTTGTGGGGTGTTATTGGTCACATAAACCACATAGAACAATGTGTGGGACATTGTAAGCATATCATTGGATGCTATTTGCAATTACTAAGTTTATTTCCAAGTTCACTGTTCATAACATTGGCAGAAATCCTGAGCTAAACCTGGTCACAATGAGGGATTGTATCCCCAAGTTAACTATGAGGTTGGTATATGTGAGTTATAGAATCGTTCAGTACAGACACTCTTCAATTCTTGAGAAATCAACTTAACTCAAGTATAACAGTAACTATTTATTGTATCGACATATTTACAAAATATTACAAAGTGAAATACCACTCTAGTTCATCATATTACATACACAAGAGCTGCATACAACAAGACAAGTGTATGGAAAACAGTGACTTCTGTCTTTGGTATTAGAACTCTACACAGACCCAAAGCATTTAAAGATTCCAATACAAAGTACTAAACGTAGACAAAGATGCCATTGGTAACGTCACAAAAAGGGGCTCTACTATCCTCTGCTAGGAAATCCCCAGCCCATGAAATGCAACGGGAAGAAACACCTCTTACAAATGGAGTCTATTGAGTAAAATTAACAATACGTGCTACAATACTGTGCACACAGGAATGTTCCCATTGGTGTGACGCTGTTCTCTCCATAACAACATTCGGCTGACCGGTAACAGATGAAACACTCCCGAGACACAGAGTTGCAGATAAGACTTTATAGCAAAGAATCCACTTGGAGAATACACCTTAGGGGTGTAACTGTACTGTACAGAATATTTTATAAAATACATTTTCATAATCATTTACACATATACAAAAATCTGAATTGATTTTAGCAAATAATTCTCCTAAACACACAATCACAGTTTACATAATTCTGAGGTAAAGGTCTTAAATCTATCCTAGATGAAAAGTCCTAGCCCACGAAGGTCTCGAGCAGGGGGATGTGTCTACTGAAGGTCAAGTTCGGCACCCAGGTGGCTGGGAGAGAGGGTAGGCACACCCACCTCATCTCAGAGATAATCTAAAATTTCAGAACTGAATGTTCCTAGTTCAGCTCTATTAAGTTAATGCTTATAATTTCTGTTTTACCCAAACACAAAACACTCTCTGAATCTTGTCAGAACATGACTTCTGCTATGCAGGAATTATTTCATCAGGAAAGGGCCAAGTTAGTGACTTGACTTGACTGCCTTGGCTAGGGACTCTGGCGTCCCAGGAAGAACACAATTAGATTCCTCACATAAAATAGTAAGAGCTTGCTAAAACACATGCATGGCAACACTGATCTTCCCTGCAGGTGATAACACTCCCAGAAAGGGCTGCAGAGGGGGAGACTGAGAGAAGCTGAAAGCCCAAGGCTCCAGTCCCAGAAATGCATGAAAGACCCCATTGTGCTTTCCTTCCCAAACTTGCAACTAAGTTGTTTGTGCTCCGAGAAAATGTGGGAATCAGAAAACACAACCCAGGTCTTTTTTTGGGGGAGGGGGAAGGAGGGAAGGCATGTATCATACATACTGCTGCTATAAAATGACTTACATGAATTAGAGCCCTTGATCTGTTTCTGTAAACAAAGCCACCTTACTCAGGTTATTAGTAACTTCCCCTAATACACCCGGCTAAGAGCATTTCATAAAGTCTACACGACTAAAATAACCCTATGAAATCATGAAGGTCAGAAAGACTTAATAGGAAGACACTCTCTTTCATGTGCTTCTCTCTCTCTTTTATAAGGAAGTTTGCAAATATAATCAGGACATCAAATGAATAATTAAAACCCTCCAGGGATATATCATTTGTGACGCCAACCTGAGCGCTCATTTGCCTTTCATATTTTATCATGAGTAAACTCTGGGGGTAAACGTATTTGCTGGGTATGAGTCGCCTTGTTGGGCAATTTAAGACAAGCAATGCTGGATCTTTGGAAGGAACGTGCTCTGCCACCTGCCCCAAATGGCAGAATGCTAATATTTCTTCACACTGGGAAAAGCAAAATTAAGCTACTGCTTATTTGTGCCATCAAAATTTCTGGTGAACGGCACAGGACAATAAAGTAAATACGCATTAAACACTGAATGGCAGGCATCTGTGGCATCTGACCAGATGAAGTAAAGAGAAATACGAAGCAATGTGCATGCAGAGCTCTTCTGAGAACAGCTTTTGGCTTTGCTCTGGTCTCTGACAATGACAGACTGGCAGGCTGTTTCCTGCACAGCTCTAGGCAAGCCATTAATCTGTCAGTCCCAGCATCTTTAGAAATCCCAGCATTAAGACTTAGGAGGAGTTAAGGAGGGAGGATGTTGAACAGCCAGAAATGCAGCTTTTTCAACACTTCAGTTAATTCACAAGGCCATGCGGGCTTCTGTTTATCGCTCTCTGCCGCTTCTGGTACAGGGTGCGACGCGGGATTGGAATTTATTCATCCTCTTCCACATACGTGGATGGAAACCAGCCCACCTGCAAAAGAAGAGCAACCCACATCGCAACATGACTTTTCACCTGGCGCTTCAAAGAATTCTACAAATAGAGTATTTTGCTTTCATTACACCCCAATTACACTAGGCTTTTATGCCCATTGTAAGTGAGCAAGATTGGTTTAACCGCTCTTAGACGCCTAATAGAGTGAATGATAGAAATAGAGGAATAAAATGAGCTTAAACGGTGTTCTAATCCACTAGCACACAAATAAATATGCAAATTAACTGTAATACTGGGAGTTCTGCCGCAGAATGGGATGGAAAGCTGGAGGCACTGTGCTCCATTCTCACCGGGCTTCGTCAGTAGCTCTTCTAGATGTTTTGCAATACTAATAAAGTCTTTGTAACAGGAAGGGAAATGCTCCTGAACTCTTCCAAAGAGGAAGCCATCAAACTTGCTTGGTCAACTTTATGTCGCTATCATATTCATTGAAATGCATTTTTAGAGATCGCCTGGTCTCAGCAAGGTGTAGCACGAGTCTCACAGACCAGGGCTCTGTGGGCTGAGAGCTGCAGCACGGTACAGGGGCTTCTCCCCAGCAGGAGCATGGGTGGCAACACCTGCCCGATCCCCTTCATTCCCACGCTCCCCTCGATGGATAGGGGCAACTCACCCTGCCGTTCACCTCTCCTCTCCACCAGCCATTGGCACTCATCTTTGTATAAATCTTCACCACGTCTCCTTTCAGCAAGGACAATTCTCGCATGTCTCTTGCACAAAAGTCGTACCGAGCGATGGCAATGCCCAGCACTTTTGGACTTAACACTGTAAAGAAATGACAGGGAGTCAGAGTTGAAGTTGGTTAACAAGCGTAAGAACCTAATCAGACGAATGTTACTGATGCTATCAAATGCACGGTCATGATTTCATTACAGACCAGGGATAATGGCAGAGGAGCTTGAAAGCAGCAGAATTGCTGTTTCAATTCAATCAGGTGTAGGCAAATTCATGACATTCAAAGAACCACTGTTCTTTTTCCACATCCTTCATATGAACTTCAAAATAGGGATCAGACTTTGTTACACACACACACACACAATCAAAACCCCACAATAAAAAGAAAACCTGGTTAATATCTAAGTGACTGTCTAAGGAGTCGGAATCTAAAATAACTTTGGCATAAATTTTGATGGCACAGTCATCTATGTCTAACTAGCACCTTGAAAGTGAAGCTTTAAGTTTTTATCTTGTAACTTCTTGACTCATACTTAAAACAACTAAATTTTTGCTTGGCTGAAAGTCTCCTGTCAAGTCCATGTCGCTCTTTCTGGCAACGTACACTCTCTCTCTAGGCTTAAAACTATTCGGGGATAAACTCACTTATTGCTTCGTATCTATTCTAATTCCACTTATGTGAAGGGTGAATCAGACCTAACAGAAAGAACACACAAATACCATCCATAGATCTTCCTTTCAAACAAATAATGGCCTAGGGAAAACTTCAGCTGGAGCAGCTAATCAAAACCAAGATGGCAAGGTGTTCACCGCCTTTGTTCAGTTTTTTTCTTTTTTTGATGGTAGGAAAGGAACTTTCTCCCTGTCTCTGCCCACCCTGATCTGGAAGGAAAACTCAATTCAAGCTGCTAGTCCCTGGAGTTCCCTAACACATTTTGCACTAACTTCTCTAGCTGTTGCTCTTTGGGGTTATAAAGTGTTTTCAATTATATGTTCAGTGATTCTGAGAATCGCTCATCTGAGATTGGTGGGATTTTATAAATCGTAAATGGCAAAGGAACTTACGTGTAAGAAAAAGAGACAAATGGGGAACATCACCCAGGTGTGTGATTAACAGCCCCAGAGCTCAGGCAGCCACAGTTATGACCCATGTCACCTCAGAGGAGCTTGCCCATCTGGAGACAGGGATCTCTGAGCTATTATTCATGGATTTGTAAAGACAGAAATTTTTTTAGTCTCCAGGTGTCAATCATGAGACAAATGAATGGCAATACTGTAGATTTCAAAACTGTAAAGGGAGTAAAAATGGGGCACTTTATTTTACTGTTCAGGACACAAACCACTTTAATAGTTGTCTTACTGAAAACTGTCCCATTGCCGGGGCACAGCACTCTTATAAAAACACCCCTGTGGTGGAAAAGCCCCATGGTCAACTCAACCGTGTGACCTTGCACGGTTCTCTTGACACCTGGGCCACATCTTCCTCACCTATAAAATGAAACATTTGTACTTGATGACTTCCAAGATCTTTTTTGTTCTCAGTTCTCTGAATTTATGGGAGCTTGCAGGTTAATTTTTTAAAGTCTATAAGAAAACATCCTGCACCTAGCCATGCTGTACTCCCCTTGATGTCTCATAAACAGCCATTAAACTCTCTGGCCAGTGCCAGAAATCAAGACCAAAATGCCCCTGCACAAGCTGAAGAACTGTACAGCTGGTGGGCACTGGTCATCCTCTCAAGCAAAAGTGGGCTGAATTTCACTCTTCTGTTTGGAGACAAAGTTGAGATTTTAATTTATTTTCTTAATGGAAATATAGAAAACTGTGCTTTTCTTAATGAAAATTCCTGGTTCTCAAAACAAAACAAAACAAAAGATGATTTTACAGAGGACTTCATCCCTCTGTAGACTTCCAAATCCCCATTCCTTTCCAACCTCTCCAACAGACACATTATAAAAGTCTTGCTGAAACGCACAACACGAACACGAACACACACACACACACACGGCAACCAGAGAAGTGAAATGTCACGGCAGACAATGGCTTTATGGCAGAGAAGAGTAAAGTGCATGGTGGTCATGGAACTCGGGGACTGGCTGTGAGGAGACGTGTCTAGATGAGGCGCCACACACAGAAGTTAAAATATCGTATTTGCAAACAGAAGCAGGTTGAAGAGACATATAAAAGCAGTAAAGCAGTACCTGACCAGAAAGGAGTGGAAGAAGGGGGAACAAAGCTGTAGTCTGGAGGAGTGACAAAAGAAAAGCCACAGAACAAAGAAGGGGCTTAGAGAAAGAAAGAAAAAAAAGACAAGCAAAAGAGCATTTAGGTATTGGCAAAAAAAAAAAAAAATCTTAACACGACTATATTGTCATCTGTAATCATAAGAAAACGGTTACATCCATGTTGGAATATCAAACTTCATTTCTCAGCCACTTCTTTTCAATCAGCATTTCTAAATGAAGAACAAGCCAAACTTTTACCTTTTGATTAACATTGGTTTTGCAATTCAGAGCTGTCTACCCTTTTCGAGGCAAACACAGTATACCCACTCCACGCTGCCCTCTTTGAATCCCATCCGTGCAAGGATGGCCTTCTTTGCTTGATGTAGTGCCCAGCTCCCACTTGGTCACTCAGTAGAAAGGGGAGGGGGAATACTGTGAATTCTGAATGCAAAATGTGCTTCACATCAAAGCAGGTGTAAAGAATTAAGAGCCTACAGGAAAGTGTCATTGAAACATGTAGAATCCATGGAAAAATTTTAAAAGGCACTCGTGATTTGTCATGGAGCACCCCTCACCAAGACCAAACACGCTAGCTTATTTTCGAAAGGAGGAAAAGGCAATTAGAAATGAAAAACACTCTGGATCTTATTGTAGTAGTTAAATAAAATCCATACATTCTCCATGTTGTAGAAATGCACAGAAAAGGTATATGCGTGTGGATGCTCCAAACCTTTTCATTTTACTCTTAATAATGTGAGTTAACAGCATTTATCAAATGGTTCTGAAGTGTTAGACACCATGCTTAATGAGTTATGTTCAATATTTCATTTAACAATCATAATAACTCTAAGAGGAAAGTACTAACACTGTCTCCCCTACATCTCAGAAAGCCTGGACCCCACCCCAGACTCTGAGGGGCATGCTCTGAGCTGCCAGGACACCACTCTGCACCCCTCACTCTGCTGCAAGACCTCTATGGGCACCTGGACATCTCAACCTGCTGACACCACAGCACCACTGCAATGCACCAGGAAAGCATGGCTACACAGTTTCTCCCAGTATTACTTTCCCCTTCGTTTATGAAATAGATTGTTCAATTGGGCTATGTTTGCCCAGAAAAAAGACTACATTTCCCAGCTTCCCTTGCAGCTAAGTACAGCTATATGACCAAGTGCTGGCCAGTGGAATATAAACAAAAGTATCTTAAGGCCGCTTCTGGGATCTTCCCTAACAGCACAGTGGGCACATGCCTTTGCCCTTCTTTAGGGCTCCTTATTCTCTCCCACTGTCTGGAATATGGAAGCTGCCTTCTCATCCCTGAGGAAAAAAGTCTCACCATCGCTATGGTACAGGTGTCCTCAAACTGTGGCCCGCCTAGGACATTTATCTGGCCTGCTGGGTGTTTTTGCTGCTGCTGTCTGTCCTGCTTAGCAGCCAACTCATGTCCCAGGGCCGGCCCTCCAACTGTCTGAGGGACAGTGAACTGGCCCCCTGTTTAAAAAGTTTGAAGACCCCAGTATGATAGATCATGAGCTTGAAGGAACCTGGGTCATTGGAGATTTCATAGAAAAGAGAAATAATCACCCATTATTACTGAAGCCAGTGGGGTTTTGGGGGTTCTGGCACTTGCGGCTAGATCTATTCTGAACTGTTACAAGAAGTTTTCTATAACCAACGATGAGGTGAAAGTGGGCAAAGCCAACTGCAGATGTGTCCAAATCACCTTCTAATATATTCTGCCTCTTTTCATGCAACTGCTTGACTTGCAAATTCATCCAAAGTGATCCCTCTCATCAGGAAAGGGCCCTAGGGATACCTAAGGATAGTGGTGTCTTACTAAGGAGAGTCCCAGACTGAGTAGAGACCACCCAAGCAGACTGGCTGCAGGAATTTGGAAGTAGTTAAGCTATTCTTCGAATATACACACTGGTACATTCATGGCACTTTTTTTTTTGTCATAAGTGGCATCCATGTTTACTTTTCACCTACCTTGACGTACATCCTTGTTGATAATCGAGTTTCTTTTCTATTTCATTGCACATTCCATAGGTAATTTTTTTATTTTAAAATATAGTGATAGATGACATTACAACTAATTTTACAGTCACATACTTCCATGCAACAGGACTGGTACAGTTTAATTTTCTTGAGTCTATTATATACCACTATTAGAGAGGGGAGAGGATACCATTCCTAATTTGATGAAGTCAATGATACACCTAACTCTATCACTGGCAGAAAGTTGGTGCCAAGAGTCCTATCCCATGTTTTTAAGACACAGATTAGAAGGTCTCACTGGATTCATTACTTCTGGTAGGCATTAGAATTTTCTCCTTGAAAGAAAAATTCTTTCATCCTCTGCTCACTTTAACGTCTTTGATTCTCTCTCTGGGGCTATTTTACTCATAAAGAAAAAAAAGACTCAAGTTTCCCAAATTTCTAATGAAGGCAATTTAAGCTAAGTGTCTGGATGTGACAAGAGGTAAGTTCACTCTAGAAGGAAGAAATGAGAAAGTAATGGAAACACAATTAAATGCAATTTAAAGAATCTCAACGGTAGGTAGACAAATGAGATTAGATAAGCTGTCTGTAATCTTAAAATATCAAACATGTCTAAAAGTAATGCTTCACCTAAGGACTTGAATCTCTGTTTCAACGACATAAGGTCGGGGTGCTATTCTTCTCTCTTATCTACTCCTGAAAGCCTCATAATTATTTGCATTTATATCAAGTGGCTAGAATTTCGATCTTCTTAAATCTTACCAAGATATTATAATTCCAACTAAATAGCAGTTAGCCCCCCTGGATAGGCTTTGGTCCCTCTGCTGGCCTCAGTCTAAACTGATTTTTTTTTTTTCTGATGAG